TGCCCCAGCTCAGCCCGATGGGCTCCCTCATTTCCAAGCCCTTTGCCTTGATCGCGGCAGTCAATCTACCGGAGCTAGCAAACACCTCAACTCCCAATAGGCCTGGTGCCGCACCGCCCCGAGCAGGTACTCCAAGTTGTAGAAGCCACCTAGGAGCAGGCAAAGGAGCAGGAAGAGGTTGGAAGCGTGAGGGGTGATCGGCAATGTTCGCAGCGGTCTCAACCCATAATAACGAAAAAGAGATCCCCGATAAAACCAAATGTGGAGTCATAGCTCTAAGGATCCCGTTCAGCTTCCGGCTGCTACTGCGTCCCTTCACAAAGGAGCCGATCACGACTCTAGAGTCGTTCAAGGCGAGGATCACCGTGTTATAGTTGGCTGGGTCCGCGGCCAATCGAATGAGCTCCTTGCGCAAGGCCCGGGCCTCTTGAAGATTGATGTGGCTGGTTTCCCGAAAATGGTAACTGCTCACCACTCGCCACGGGAGACACAAGGCCACCGAGCTCGCAAACCGTGAAGCCTCCTCGGGTCGGGGAGCCAGCCACTCCAAAACACCTGAGTCATCCAGGCGAGCGGCCTCACCCTTGAGTTCAGCGTGCTTCCACAAGGCCCGCGCCAACTCTTCGGTAATCGGAGCCTCGACAGCTCCACCTGAGCTCGGGGTGGCATCGGTTGCTAGCAGACTGGAATGAATCGCCCGCCGCATATCCCACCTCGCAAAAGGTAAATGCAATGAGCAGCTGCGCAACTCGTCGAGGATGTAACCTGGCAATGGCACCCACTTCTCTGCAGGCATCCGCTCAAGGTAACGGTACACATGATGTTGCAAGCTATAAAACTCCCGGCGGTACTGGAACACGAAGGCGAGGTAGCCAATCGTCTTTTGGAGTACCTCACGTGAACACCACCCGCCCATCACAATCTTCATCAGGATCATCCACACTTGGCGACGCACGTCGAGCGGGGAGCTCACCCGCCCTTGGATCCCGTCCACCTCCGCGCCCCAAGCACGAAACCGAGGTTCAAATCGAAATGCTTTGTGCACGGCCCTCTCCAAACCCGCAGCCTTGTACGCGCCCTCGGCCGCGACCACCTGCTCGAAGTCCTTGTCGCTGACCTGGGCGGCGGGGGGCTCGAAGCTGCC